CAGTTGGGGGGGGGGGGGTCAGTTCCCAGTGTCTACACAAGGCCTGAGCCCAGCGTGCAGAAGTCAGTGGGGATGGTGCAGGCCCCAGGACCCGATCCCAGCATGTGAGGGAAAACCAAGGTTGCGTGGAGCCTGATCCAGGCATGTGGGCCACGTGGAGACAATGCAGGGCTCAATGCTGTTGCACAAGACCCAATCCAGCACACAGACCAATCCCACACCACTCATCTGGCCCACAGGGCTAAAAAGTCAAGCACCAATGATCTAGCCCATTATTTAAGGTACTCTCACACAATCAATAGTTGCCGTCTCAGGCCTACTCTGTACACATTGTTAAATAGACAGATGCAAAGAGAGTCTAATAAAAACCAAAGACATGGAGATTTAAGCTCACAGTTCTGCTTCTGGAGAGCAGGTTCTTATAAGTTTTGCTGATTGTCCCTTTCTTACCTTTGCAAGGAAACTCCAGGCTGCATACTGCCATGAGGAGGTACAGTTTTTTAGTTGCACTGTGTGTAACATCAGAAAGAATCCCAGCAGTCCACTGTAAAGGGCAGGGAAAGCTTCCATTAATAAAGTATCTTAGTGTCTATCAAGCAGAACCTTATGGGTTTCTTGTTATCTTTTTTTTCTAGCACAAAACTTAATATTCATCACTATAGCTGATGTGATTTAAGTGTTGGAGTAGATGATCTTTATTTCCAGAACAAAATAATCTGGTTTTGTTCAACCTATGGCTAAAATGACCTTAACATAGATGGAATAGTCTCATGTTAGATAATCCAAGGGTAAAAAATGAAAGTTTATTGCCAGAAGATTTTGACTTAGGGCATTTAAATGGCTCCACTGAAACAAAGATTTTAGTGGGAGCAGCATGTCTACATTTGGCTGATATCATCAATCCTATTTCTATGGGACCTTAAGCTGCAAAGAACACTAGAGAATTTCAGTTTAATACAGTCAAGTCACTTAATCTTCACAAAACCCAAAGTTCTGATAAAAATATCAAATGCCCTTTAATTCTTATAGGTAAAGAATAAATTAATAAACCTGATGCTGTGGAATACAATGTCCTGAAACTCTCACGTGAAGACTAGGTAAAACTTGATTCTCAAAATTATGTAGGATTAACTAGTAAAGGGGGAAGGAAGGAAATTTAAGGAGTGGTTTCAAAATTATGGTGGTTTCAAAGACTAAATTATGGCCTTGCCAGTACAAATGTCATGGGTAGCAGCATAGAAGGGGAGAGAGACTCTATGGAGCATTTCATTATGAAGAGATGGGGCTTAAAGCTGCATTACCCCAGGCACTGAGCCAACACTGTTTGCTCCACCACTGAAACAGCATGAAGACAAAGACCAAGACAGACTCCCTGGATCGCAAACTCCTTTCTGAGTGTGAGTCAGGGAGAACACAACCAAGTGCTGTCCAATGCTCATGACTCAAAGTAAAACTGTGACTCATTATTTCTGTATCTTGACACACCAAATAAAAGGGAAATCAGTGTAAATGCAAAAGAGAAGTTACTCTAACTTCATGCAACTGAACTGTAACCACAAGATCCTGAAGAGTTACATGCTGCTAGAAAGGCAGAGAAGGTTGGCTGCAGCTAGGAAATGTTATTTGGTATTAATAAAAAAATGGGCTGGGAAAAATTGCTAAGCACTTATGATGATACTAAGCTGGAAATGTCATAGCAATCTCCAAGATATACACCTCCACATCAGACAATCAAGACTAGGTACTTACAATGAGCAGAGGAACATTTTTTCTCAGAAAGACTGTTTATAATGAAAGGTAGATAAAATGGTCCCTTGGATAAATAGTTGGTATATCAGTAATGTATTTCTTTTAGAAAACAGCTAGTGGGCCTTACTGTATAACAGTAAATGAACTGTTACAAAAAGACACTGGTTGCCAGGATTTAAACACTAAAATAATTAATGGTGGGATTTGCTGAGTTAGCAACCTATAAAATAAATGGGGCCATTCACACCTCATGAATTGGTCAGACACTTCATGTTCTGAAGGACATGGTTGCATCAGTCATACTTGCTTCACATTCTGAAGGTTTTCTTCAGACCCACAATTGTTAATGGCTTACTTTTTAAAAGGAACTGGAAACTAAGATGTTGGAAGACAGTTGAAAAGCCTTGTCCTTACACCCTATTTCCTTGTGTTCCTATTGTAGGAAAAAAATGGTGAACTACTATTTCATGCTAGGGGTGGTAGAATCTGGACACAGAAGTGGTGAAGGAAGCCTAAAACACTGGTGACAAAAATCTGAAGCACAAATGAATTTCAGAACATCTCCTCTAGCTGCACTCTCTTGGCCTGAGGTTGGGTTTTGCTTATATGAAAAGAAACAATGAATAACTAGCTTAGACATCACAGAATAAACTACACTGCAATGCTGTTCCAGAATTGCTCCCAGTGTGGAAATTAAATTTCCAGAATAGAATCACTTTTATTGTAGAACATATGAGGAAATTATTCCAGAATAGCTATGCTGCTGAGTTTTCCCTCCATGCAGACAAGGACTTAAGCGTGCTAGTTAATCATGAGCAGCACTCAAATAATCATGACTATTATTGTTTTTCACATTACATCAACCCTTTTAAATAGATAAGCAAGATAAAAGTAAGAAACGTCCCAAGAAATAACAAATAGTTTTGTCTCATTTTGAAAGAAAAGTAAAAGTTAACCAATCTAAAAAAAGTAAATATTCTTAACTAGAAGAAGTCTAGAGATCTGAGAATGGATAAAAGTTTCAGAGTACTAAGGAACTGTGTAACACATGCTGATGTAATTCTCATAGGATGTTAGTGGACTGTGAATTCTTGCTATGGAAAATAATGAGACAGTTGTTAAAGCCTTCCCTTTTTACCCACCTAACACATTCTGCCACATAACAAGACATACAGGCAAACTAACAGTTCTGAGGACTAATATTTTGTAATGACAGCAAACAGCAAATTTAACAAAGACTAAGCTGAGTTGGGAAGTATTTCAAAGATTCTTTCCATCAAAGCTTTCTCATGCTATGTACAAAATATTTTACTGCAAGCAGGGAACTCCTCATGGTCTCAACATACTTGAACATATAAAAGGCACACACCACCTTGCATGATGGAACAAGGCCTATTGGACTTGAATCTCAAGGCCTCAGTTGCATTTCCAGAGGAAGTCATTCCTCTACAGCTTTACTGCCTTGTTCCAGCAGAAATTGGTACATCTAACCCATGTGTTACACGCTTCTCACTCTCAACTGAGATTCAAGTTTAGAAGTCAACAGAACCATTATTTCACAACTGAGGCATATCCAGGGTGGAGGGGAAGTCATTGGAGTGCAGTCATACTCCTTATTTGATTCCTACTCCCTTCAAAAAATAAACAAACTGCCCAGCCAGGACAGACACATTTCTATTTAGGCAGAGTTGAGGAAGTCAACTGATTTCATGGCTCACTATTACCTGTTTGATTTCTGCTAATCTCTTCGCCCCATAATTGTTAATGACCCCTGATCTTTCTCTAAATCAAGCTCTTCTTTCTTCTGTAGTTATCCTGGCTGTTTTATATCTATGGTAATGTCTCTGCTCATCCCCCAACAGGTCCAGTAAGCTCTGGTGCTACCTAAGAACCTGTACAGGGTGGCTTTGTTCCCAGGGCAGAGGTCACTAGTGGGTCAATCTCAACCGGTAGATTGACCAGTAGATCTTGGAGCTTCTTGCAGTTGATCGGAGGCTGGGGTGGGGGGCTGAACTCACCTGTGCCTGCATGTATGCGCCCCACCCCCAGCCCAGCAGGTCAGTCTGTGGGGGAGGGAAGGGGCAAGGGCCAGATCAAGGCCTCCGCAGTGAGGAACAGGGTGCTGCAGGGGTAAGTTGAGTGAGGCCTTGGGCAGGTGGGTGGCAGGAGGACCAAACCCAGGCGGCTCACCCAGGGCTCAGGAGGCCGCCACTGTGTGCACCCTGGAAGAGGCCCCAGGGGGCATATGCCCACCATCTATGCATGGCAGAGGCAGCTGCTGTTGCAGGCTGGGCTTTGTGCCCGAAGCCCTTATGCAGCCCGCCCAGAAGCAGCCCGATGCCATGTGCATCAAACTGCTGGGCGGGCAGGGGACAAGGCTCAGCCCAGGGCGGGACACACGTGGCATCAAGGCACTCCTAGGTGGGTTACAATAGGGCTCAGGGCACAAAGCCCAGCCCGCAACTGCAGCTGCCTCTGCCATGGATAGACGGGGGAGTACATCCTACCCCCCTGCAAATGCCAGGCAGTGCGGGCAGTTGCAGCAGCTGTGAGGGAGGGAGGGAGTGGGGATGGAGCAGGGACAGGCCCTGCACAGCCTGGGTGCTCTGCACAGCGGTGGTTTGGGCTGCACTGCACTGCAGTTAGCCTGGGCAGCGGCAGCACTGGGAGGAGGGGCTATGGCCAATTTTTAGGTGCCTGCAGCACCCCACGTAGCCCCGCTCCCAGCGCCACCCAGCGCACCCCAACCTCAGCCTGCAGTGGCAGCCAGCCCAGCCAGCATGCAGATACGGGGGTACATGTCCCCCATGCCCTCCTGGGGTGCATGCCCCGCCTTCCCTGCAGCCCCTGGACGAGCTGCTCACAGCTCTACCCCATGCCCAGTCTGGACAGGGCCTGCCCCTGCTCCAGCCCCACTCTCTGCCCCCCCAATGGCGGGGAGGGAGGTCGAGGCCCCAGTGGTAAGGGAGGAAGTGGGGCTAGGGCTGGGGCCTTGATCTGCCCCACAACAGCCCTTTCCCCTCCCCTCCCTCCCCCAGACTTACCTGCTGGGGGGGCATGCCTGCAAATAATTTTTTCTCCCTCTGCCTCAATCTGCCATCCCCCTTCCCTCCCCACAGACTTGCCTGCTGGGCCAGGGGGGAGTGAGGGCGGGTGGGGGTGGCGTACAGTAGATCTTGGGTTGCTTTTAAATGCCAAAGGTGATCTCCTACTTAAAAAGGTTGGAAACCACTGTCCTAGGGGATTCAAACCTACAACAAATCAGAGACAGGGAAGGAAGGGGCAGTCTAAAAGCAGGCTGAGCTCTGCATCAGTCAAAGGCAGGAGAGAGTTGTGAAGGTGAGGTGAAGTAGTAAGCTACTGCAGTGACCCTTTCCTGAGTTACTCATTGCAGCAGATGAGGGAGACTGTGGGAGGCTGAACTAGTGGTGGCATAAACCAGGCAAGGGTTGGTTTCCCCAGGTAGAAGCACTCCCAGTGGCTGAAGCAAGTCCTCCCCTGACCCCAACTGTTTGTTATCTTGAGGGTGGAGGACAACATTAATCAGCTATAGACATGCTATGTGGAGCTGTGGGAGGGCCAGTTAAAGCCCTATCCCCAGGGTTGGGGGCCCACAAGGGGAGCAGACAAGGTTTCTGGGAGAAGGGGGCCCTGTGGGGTAAAGGGATGTGGGGTGAGAAGGGGCTGGGATGGGGGTCTATGCGGGTGAGATGGGCTGTGAGGTGGATTGGGAGCAAGAGGGATTTTGGGTGAGGGAGGCCCAGTGGTGTCAGGGGCTGCAGTGAGGTTTGAACCCTCAGAGGAGAAGGGAAGAGCTCAGTGGGGTGTGAGAAGGATGGCAAAGAGTCAGTGGAGCTGAGATGTGAAAGGGATGAATATGTGCAAGACGCATTGGGTTCATGGGGACAGTGAGGGGGCACGATAGGACTCAGTGTGGCATGAGGGTGCTGAGCAAGGGGGTATGCAATTTAGTGGGGACAGAGAAGAGCTAGGAGGCATTTGACATGGTAACAGCTGTAGCCTTGCCCAGCACTACAGGTGTCTGCCCCGCACTGGAGCTAGCAGCGAGCACCCCACAGATTCAGCTATATCTGTTTTTGCTTAGATCATAAACTGAATAAATACAGCCCTAGGCCTCTAGCATAAATAGTAAAGCTTCTAGTGCCCTTTTTTATTAGAGAAAAATCTTAATTTTGTTTTGTAATAATACATCACACCTCCTGCACCTCCCCTTTTTCAAAATCCTTGATCCACCCATGTTTCATAACAGTCGCATACCTTATTACAGAGAGGTTACCTGGCACAGCAGCTGCTGTGAAATCTGTAGAAGTACAGGAATGGAAAGTCCAAGGCACTAAGGAGATCACCTGAGGGACAAAACAATACACTCAGTGGGAAAGTGGAAAAAACACACAGTTACAAACAACAGGGGGACAGCAATTAATGGATATTTGAGTTTTCACAGGTGCCTAACTTTCATTTACCACAGTTTCCACATTTCCATTCTTTTTAATGCATCTTTCCTGATATTCTCTGTTCTAGCTGGCTCCAATCTTATTGAAACAGGGAAAGGAGTTGTACAAAGTGTAAGAGTAGTCTTTGCTAATACATTTCTAATGTTCTACAAATGACTGCACTGAGACTGAAATTTCCAGTGAACAGCACGTGGTCTATTCACCTTTTACCCTGAGGCCCTCAAAAGTGATTTCTGTCCACTGAAATCAGTTAATTTTTTGGTTACATACTGTGCAAAAGGGAATATTTACATATATCTTTGCACAGTAAATTCTACCACATAGTGCAAGTCAGGAGGTTTAAAAAAGAAGTTCTTCTAAATATACACTGTAGGGCCAAGGGATCTTTGCATTTCCAGGGGGTATGGACCAGAAAGCTTCAACTTGAGAGCTTTTTCCCTTTCAGCCTCTACAAGTTCTCAAAAAAAATCCTTTAATTTTTTTAAAACATGCCGGGGTGGATCTAAAGTGAGTGCGGTGGCGTGGCTGCACCCCGCCTCCCCTTTGGATTGGACCACACCACAGGAGCCTCCAGAGACTTTTTAAAGTTCCTAAATCAGGTAAAAATTCTCTCTTCCCCTTCCTGCTCAAAGAAACACCCTCTCCCCATCCCTTCCCCCTATCCCTACCCCACCTCCACCTGCCATTCCCTGCTGTCCAGAAGCACCAGAGCCATTCCTGCCTGCTGCGCAGGGGCTGGGCTTAGCTGGGGATGGGGATCAGGGCAGCAGGGATAAGCAGGGATTCCCCTTCCAGGCAGGCTGAGGGGACTTCTCTAGTTGCCCTGTTGTCACTGTCCCCTCCGCTGCCGAGTCCAGCCTCCGCTCAGCCTGGCTGGCTCCAGAACTTCCCTGCTCCCCAACCATGGAGAACGCAGCAGGGGCAGCCAGGAGAGTTGGGCGGGGAGAAGATGAAGGGAGGGCACTGCCTCTGAGCAGGAAGGAAAAGGGAAGGAGTATTTCCCTAGAGGCTCCTACAGCCTGGTCTGCCCACACTGGTGGAGCAGAAAAGGCTGGGAGCAGGGGGTGCAGACACCCCTGCAGTGTGGGTTGCTGCTTCCACAACCCCCTTTGCGACATCCTGGATGTGCCCCTGAAAAGATGTGCCTATTTTATAAAGCATTTTCTGTTACATTATTCCTGAGGGAGGGAGGACACTGTAAACAAAATGGCTTTGTAAAGCACCAAGCCCAGTCACCAGCTGAAAACCTAGATGCTTTCCTAGATGCTTTATCCTTCGACTTTCTGATTGACAGACCATACATATAGAAGGCTGAAACACGACTCTGTATGACAAGCCCCCAGCTAGCTAAAATCCAGACTGTAGTCTGGAGCATGCATCAAGGTCTCATATTACTCCTTTGCAAAGGACAGTTATAGTGTACCAGATAGTCCACTGAATACTATTAAATCCTGGGGGACAGAGAAATCAATGAAAGGATAGGAGAAAAGAATCTCTCCAATTGTTGTTTTACACACTGCATCATTGAATTGGACAATAAAGCTGCCAATGTTCAACAATCAGGCCCTTTGACTTTGTTCAAACAATTCTGTGCGATTTTTCTAGTGGACTCTTCAAGATTCTGCAGCTGCATACTTTTTACAGTAAACAAGAGACATCAAAAATGAAAACTCAACCTAAAAAAAAGAACATCCTGGTTCACTTTACCTGCTGGATGGGATGCAGAGGCCAAAAGCACCATGCTAAAAAAAAAAAAGAGAAAGAGGTACTTGCTGGGACCTGGATGTGATATTTCTGAAAGGTATTGAAAATGCAAATGTCTTATTTGCTCACAAAAGGACATCTATGTATCTAATGCTTCATTAATGGATTAAATTCATCCCTAGGACAGCACGGGCCTTTAAGTAACATAATCAAGTAATCAAAATTTTTACTTTTTATTCCAAGTGTCTACGTATGCAAACTGTTGGCGATTGCCCAAATAATCTATAGATTAAAAAAAAAGTTTGTTTCATTGGATCTAATCCCTACTCCCCCAGACTGGCTGACAAGCTCAAGTCTACTAGTTAATAATGCAAAGGAGAAAGTGACATCTTGCTTGTTACTCAATAAGAAACACCAAATGGGGGAAACAGATGGACAAGTGAAACTGCATCAACAGTAGCAAGACCTGTGACTGCTACGTGCCCCATTTTCGCTTTGCACATTTTTTACTGATAAAATAAAATTGTGTAGATTAGAAAATGTTCAGTAAGAAATGTTGTCTGCTACCAAGAGGGATTGATAACTCTTGTAGACATCCCAAGCTCAGATCCAAAGAAAACATGGAAGGAAAACTAAACCTGCTTCCTTGGGAAGAGAGACAGATTAAGCTAGTGAGTTAGATGGCATTGAAAATGCAGTGAACTCTACTACAAACTCTCTCCTCCACACTGCATTGGTGGAAGGGAAACTGTATAATTACAGGATCACATATAGCATTCAGGGACTTCCAAAAAAACCCCACAAAAACCAAAAAAACCACACCACAACTGAGACAACAGGTAGATGGACCTGACCCCCTGACTTTGGAGCCTTCAATATTTTGGATTTGATCTTGTATGCTTCTCTGCTGGAAAGGCAATTTGTTCCCACAAAGCTGCCCTTTCCCAGAGCAGAAAACCCAGTACAGCTGTTTTGTTTTCACTATGAAGGATTAACAGCTCTTCTTAAATAAAGATATTATGTGGATGGGCTTTACCAGAAATTTCTACCAGTGCAGCTTCTTCAAAACCTGAAGCCCTCACAAGTCCAGAGACTGCCAGCTCCTTTTTATAAAACAAATTCCAAACATCAGTTATACTGAGAATAAAAAAGACTAAGGACCATCTTGGACTTCTGCTCAGTACCCTGTGTAAGCAGTGGCACGCTGCTAACCTACAACAGGCAGGAATCTGGGAAGGACCTCTGAGCCACACTTCTTGAGAAATAACACCAGCTTACAGATGTGCACTACCTTCTGCTCATACTTAACCTCCCAGCTCTTCCAGTCATAATGTAGGGAAGAGAGGAGGATAGAACTGAAGCTACATCTAAGCTGGTGTTACTTCTCCAGCTTACTACATCAGGCCTTGCCCACCTCACCAAATATTCAACCCCAGTTCCCCACCCCACTCTCATGCTCCAGTGGATGGGATCTTTATAGTTAGCTGCTTTACACTCAGCTAGAAGATGGATGTCTTTTAATTAGCAACTGATGCAAATTCTGAAGATAGCCAGTTTGAATCCTGTCTTGTGAAGAACTGCAACACAGGCAGACCAGCAATTCGTAAATTAATTCACTCTGATTTATCTTGTGTGCTGATTAAAATAAAAAAACACTTTAAGTCATGACAAGACAAGCCAGATAACAGCATGTAGACCATGTTGCAATTGTAATGAACTCTAAACCTGTTTCACTAGCGTGCAGAAGCTGTCAAATTTTCTGTAAAGGGTGCATCCAGATGAATACGTAGGTGCATTTTGTGGTGCCACGCACCCATCTGAGGCACCGCAAACTGCACACACAGGCATTCAGCATGCTAATTTGCAGCACAGCGGGGGGGTTTTGACACAGGAGATCCCGGTGTCAAAAAACCTGCGCCATAAAAAAAGAGCATGGTGGCACATGTGGCAGCAGCATGCGCTGCCCAAAACCAGAGCCTAGCCAGCCAGAGCCATGCTTCGGCTGCTGGCCAGGCTCCACGCACTTGGACTGCCGCCCCAAGGGGCCCCCCAGGACCCAAGGTAAGGCTTCTGGTGCCTGCTGAGGTGCTGGCCCCAGCCTCCCCTACCCCACCTGGGGCAACTTGCTGTGTGCCGGAGCCTGCATGCATGGGTGTTTCCTGGGGAAAAGTAGCAGTGGCACAACTATGTACTGCTGCTATTTGTCCCCAGGGAAACACACATGCACGCTCATCTGGACGCTCCCAAAGGTTAGAATGTTCCCAATATTTAATCAAAGTAAAGTTTTACGTATTTAAAATCTACACAGACAAGTGGTATGCTAGTGGTGTGTGAATGGTGGGCAATAACAAAACATCACAAAAACTGGAAGGGTAACAAAGGAAAAAAGGAGAGGAAAATATAAATTTCCTTGGTACATGAACTGTGTTAGTCTCCCTGATCTTTCAGAGTCCTGTTAAATTTAACCAAAGCTAATGGGAGCTGTGTCTTGTTGCTGTACTCCAGCACAGTGTTCTCAGAAGAGGAAGGAGAGAATAACACTGAAGAGAAAGTAGGCTGCTCTGATGAAGAAAACAAACCAGGTATGAGGAAGCGCATCAGCAGGATCAGGTAAAGGCAACAGTTTTTGATACTGGTACTGAACTTCTTAGTTCTGAAAAGCCCACCTTTATACCGCTACTGCTATTTGGACTATGTGGTCGAAAAGTTATTTTCAGACTGGTGAAAGTGTGATTTAATACACTTCAAGAATATGGTTTTAAGAAACATCACCTAAATGGTAGTATGGTTTTCTGAGACAAATACTGGGAGTGATAAGGTAAAGAAAAATGCCATATTTTCTACATCTAACAAATCCTTCTTCATTTTTATTTGGCTCTTGGAAATTCCTCTCCATATTTCTAACACCCAACCAAATACAATCACCCTCAAAAATAATTCCAGCTTTTAAAGGAATTAGCACATGCAGGAATATGGCATTTTAGGAAACTTACGTAGTTTCAGATATGGTGGCTCTATCTTTTTTAAATCTTAATGCTTTTCTTTTTACCAGCTTATTATATACTAATTTATTACAGGCATTATTATTTAAAAAAAAGCATCTAGCAGCTAGGTTAAAATCTTTTAATCTGATCCATCCAGGTATTATGTATCCTCTGAGTAGAATTTTGCTTTGATAACCAGTAGTTAAATCTTTCATCTGACCTTGTGAAGTTAAACACTGTCAAGCTGTGTTCACATACTTCTGCACAGTCAACTCCCTGAACAGGGTTAAAAACATGCAGCTATAAACACCAACATAAGAATATAAGAAGTGCCCCCCTGGGTCAGTCCAACAGTCCATTTAATCCTGTGTCCTGTCTTTAATAGTGGCACCAAGTAGATGCTTTAGAGGGATAGTGTATGTCCAGGGCCTACCTAGAATAATCCATTCCCTTTTACACCCTCCCTGGCATCAGCCATCACTGGTTTAGGGATGTTAGCAGATGCTTCCCTGAGTATCTGCTAATAACTATTAATGGACCTCTTCTCCATGAATTTGTCTAATCCCCTGTTGAACCTGGCCATACCAACTGCCTCTACAACCTCTTATGGCAATGAGTGCCATACATCAACTAAGTGCTATGTAAAACGAGTACTTTATCTGTTTTTTTAAAACCTATCTCTTGTTAATTTCAGTGAGTGCCCTAGTTCTTGTACTCTGGGACTGGATGAATAACACTTCCCCATGCAGCTTGTCCATACAATCATTCTAACATTATAAAAGCCTAAGTCTGTCTGTAACGCTCTTTTTGCACTCTGATTGGCTGATAAATATCCAATCAGAGTGCGAACAAGAGGAGTGCTGGAATGCTGCCATGATGGTGGGGACAGGGAGAATGGAGGCGGGGGCAGTGGAGCAGACGGAACAGGGCGAGCGAGGCCGGCAGCGCTGCTCCTTGCAGGTGATGATGATGGAGCTGGGGTGGGGGCCACAGGAACAGGCTCAGGCCCCAAGCAGCAGGAGGGAAGAGGGGAGCAGGCCTGGTGGGGGGCACAGGCCTCCATCCCCACCTGCTTCCCCCCCATCATTCTTGGCAGGCAACTGGCTTTATTCGCACTCTGATTGGCTGATGGAAACAGCCAGAGTGCTCCAAGCATGGGGGAGTGCCGCCATGATGCTGAAGCTGCACCGAGGACTGGACAGAGGCAAGAGGCAGAACAGCGGCAGCATGGGGCATTAGGTGGCAGTACCCCATCCCAGCCCCCTTCCCCCCCATCATTCTTGATAGTCAATTGGCTAGTGATTTTATAAACCTCAGTCATATCCTCCCTTCTGCCTTCTCCTTGCCAAACTGATGTCCTAGTTTTTTCAGTCACCCTCAGCACGACAGTTTCTCTTCTCTGTGCCATTTCAGTTATTCCATAAATTGTTTTAGAGATATTGAGACCAAAACTAAACACCCTACTGAAGATATGGGTGCACCATGGATTTATACAGTGGCATAATGTTTTCCATTTTCTTTTCAGCATCCTGCCAACACTATTCCCACCACTACTACTTGTAACAGAATGAAAACGCACTTATTGCAATGGTGAGAAATTTTATGATCTCTGCTAACATAGACAAGCCAGTGAAAAGTACTTTGTATTTGCAGAACCTGACACCTCAGACTTCCCTATGAAGGAGTTCAGACAAAGCCCTTGCCTCAACTGGGATACAAACAGTGGTATTAGCACTAAGAGCTAACTAACACATTCTACAAGATGAGTACGCACAAAGCAGCGTTCACGTTAACATGTGACAAGTTGGCTGACAAATTCTCAACTTCCTGGTCAACTAAAACTTGACCATCTTGGCCTGTGTTTAGTGGCAGCTCTGCCCTATGGTTGACCAGGACTAGATAGTCAGTTTTAAAGAGCATTTTATTAAAATGTATTAATAATATCCTTTTTAAAATCTCCTTGTTCTAGATGAGACCCAGTCGCCATGGAGCCAAATGTTTTGTTTAAAAACAAAACAAAACAACCCCCTCAACCAACAAAACTCATAAAGTCAAAGTGAACAAATATGTTTCCAATCCCCTGCCTCTCCTCTTCAAAGAAATCAAACAAGTTGTTTTCTAGAATTTGCTTTTTACCAGCAGTTTCGAAGGTCAACTGAGCTATAAAACCCTGGATAATGAAATCTTTGCAGCCTGCTCTCCACTAACATTTCCTGTTTTTGAGAAGGGGAAAAGGCAACCTCTTCTGATTCACTTATTTTCATTGTCTGTAAAGAAAGAAAAGCATTAAGCTTGGAATGCTGGCCACAGCTCCACTGGCAAATCCTGCAGCTTCTTAGCTACAAGGCTCTTCTAAAAAATACAGGTAGTCCATGTCTACAGACAGGAAGGGGTGAAATAAAATTGCTTTATGCCATAAATTTCCCAAACCTTCATATTTCCTTTTTTGTTAGTATTTCGTTTTTTGTTAGTATTTGTTTTGAAAGTTTTTTGGAGAAAAAGCAAGCTCTAAAGTATCAGGATGTGGGTGGGGAAAAAAGCATCTGAAGACTTCACTGCCCATCTCTGATCAAATGAATGTTATTACATTCAGGCAAAATGGAACTGCACTAAAAGGGCAAATTCTCTGCTGGACCCAGCCTCATAGATGCAGTTGTCTGCCCCAATTTATAGAGTACAGAGTCTGGCCTTCAGTTTTCAATCCAAGTTGCAAACGAATTTCTGGTTCCGGACCATCTGTAGTAATTTTTCAACTAAGTGACAACAGAGCTTCACATTAAGGCAGGTGTCAATTACAAGGAAGAGGATTTTATTGTTTGCTTTGCTTTTTCTTTCAGAATTATACAAATAGCCCCTTCAGGAGAGATTCTTGGCAGAACCACTCATTCAAGACTTTATAATAGATGATTTTTGTGAATAAACAGCACATTTGCAAGTCATATGAAGGGACCGTTTGTCACAATTATTGCCATAAGCATATGTCTGTCTCCTTTGGCAAAACTCTATTTGCTTCTCACTTTGGAGTCCTAGGAAAACAAATGAATTTCCTTAGGACAAAAGCTTACATCACCCAAATAGATGTTGTGCTACTACACAGCCATTGGCACACGCAAAGTCATCATTAATGGCTGGTACCTTCTTTGTGAAAAATGGAGGTTTCTGTGCGACTACATTTAACATAACTGTTAATGTTTTTCAGCTTGATGCATACTGGGTGAAGAAATAATGTAGTCAAGTAAGCAAGTGTTACTGACTTATCCGAATCAGGCCCACCCATAGAAGAGCCACACACTCACTCCCCACACTTGACAAACCCAGTTCCACTCATAACATACTTTCAATCATTAGCTAATCTCTTATCTGACTCTGTTCTTAATTCAGGTTCTTATTTTATTTCCCTTTCAGTTTCATCTCACTCCAACATTGTTTAATGGCATATATGCATCACTGTCACCCATTTAATGGAAGACTGCCATAGTATTGTCTCTCACTTCTTTCCCCAAATCTTTGCCTCTACCATTCCTCCTCCAGCCCCCAAAGCCTACAATTAAGTCACCACAATGCTTAAGCCCCTTTATGGATTTCACCCTCTATGCTCCACTATCACTCTGTGTTTTCTCCCAAGAAGGAAAGGGGTGACAGAGTAACAGCAGGCATGCAAGGGAGAACGGGGTGGTTTGATTACTAATACAGGATGATCTAGCTATATCCTTATACGTCCTACTTCAAATAAAGACTTGCAGAGTCTGAGGGCAGCCATGCTCAGGGACAGCATTTCTTTTACATTGTTAGCTCTCCAGGACATGTACCAATTTTGCGGGGGGTTGTACAGTGTATAAACACAAGGGAGTTCTGCTTCATGAAAAGGCATTTTAGGCACTAAAATACAATAATAATATAGTTTGATATCGCCAAGTTCATGCCAATTGCTACATATCTGAATTATCTGCCCTGTAGAAAGGCAGTATTTAACAGACACTCAAGTCCTGATGTATGCAATGTGTCTATCATAAACATCTCACTTTCCTCCAAGCTTTCTTCTAACAAGCTATTCTGTAAATATTACTTTTGGAAAGTGATGATCGCTTATGACAAAAGTGACACATGTTTCTTATTTAATGCACAATTACCTTTGCAGGCATAACTTGGCAGGTGCATCTGACGTAAGAGCCAAAATTATTATTCTGATAACTGTGCCTTCATATGTACATACATGTGGTTTGCAGGACATTTCCTACACAACACATTGTTAAAAATGAAAACAGCTTTCACATAACAACAAGCATTTGTGTATCAAAAATGTCTTGGTTTTACCTGAATATATAGTTTATGTATTGTTGGTCCAAGTCACTGAGGAGAAAAATAAAAAGAGCCTTTTCAGTAATGCAGTTTAGGGATAGTACTTTCTATGTAGCACCAATTTAAGACATTAACATGTTATTTCTAATAAGTTCATTTAAAAGGTTTTGACATTAATTTTAAGCTTGGGGCTTAATAGTCATTACTAAGGCAAAATTCCTGTTTGTCCTGGATATTTTGTCTAACTAAGGACTGAGTCCTTTAATGTCCAAACATAAAGGGAAACTGATTCTGAAAATAGTTTCAGCCTAACCATAATTTATATATTATTAACAAGGTGCAGTTGTGTATGTTATGGGGGTTTAGTCCCCTAAATTTAAATGGTGGGGTTTTAATTGCGATTTCAATTTAGGGGCTTCTGTTACTGTTCCTTTATTTTTTTCATGAAGCCTGCCCGCCTCTCCCATGGCCAGGGGGTGAGCTGCTGGTGGGCTGAGCAGCCTCTGAGCTGTGGGAGGTCCTGATCCTTCCCTCCGCAGCAACGGCACCCCTGGGACTGGCTGGGTGGGTTGCTAGCATGTTGGGTGCTGCCTCAGCTTGGAGGCACCTGACCCAACATTTTCCCAAGCCCACCCAGGCTTCCAGCATGCTGTGAACCATCCCCACCAGCTTCTCCAGCTACCAGCACACCCAACTGCCCTCCTGCCACCTTTCCGTGCTGCCGCAGGGGCAAATCAACCCATTCCCAGGTGGTCCCAGGCAGTGGGGACAGTGCATGGCCCGGGGCACTGCTCCCCAGGCAGGATTGGGGAAGAGTTGGATCTGGTGGGTGCTGCTTCCAAGCTGGGGCAATATCTGACCTGCTAGCAGCCCTCCCAGGCAGCCCCAGGGGGCACCACCACCACAGGGGGAAGAACTGGAGACCCCCACAGCTCAGGGCCTGCCAGCAGCTCACCCCCTGAATGCAGGAAGGCGGTGTGGGGGGGGGGGAAAAAAAAGAAGGGTCGGGCCCCTCACTGCTTTTTTTTTTCTGCCAGAGTCTGCCTGTGTGAGCTTCAGATGGGGTGAGCAGCCCCTGAGTTACAGGGGGTTGGGTGGGGAGGCGGTCCTTCCCTCCGTAATGGCAGCACCCCCTGAGGCTGCGCGGGTGGGCTGCTAGTGAGCCAGATGCTGCCCCAGCTTGGAGGCAGCACCTGCCAGATCCAACACTGCCCAGAGCCTGCCTGGGAAGCAGTGCCCCATGCACTGTCCCTGCCACCTTGGATCATCTGGGAACGGGCTGGCTTGCCCCTGGGCCAATGCAGGAAGGCAGCAAGAAGGTGGCTGGTTGTGCTGGCAGCTGATGGTACACAGAGCGCTGGAAGCCCGGGCAGGCTCGGGGAAGCATTGGACCAGGCGCTTTTGAGCTGGGGCAGCCCCCAGCCTGCTAGCAGCCTGTCCAGCTGGCCCCAGGGGGCACCACTGCTGCAGAGCAAGGACCAGGGTCCCCCGCGGCCCAGGGGCTGCTCAGCCTGCCAGCAGCTTGTCCCCTGGCTGTGAGAAGAGGCGGGCAGGCTCTGCAAAAAAAAGTATCGGGCCCCTAACCACTTCAGTCCACCTCTCCTGTGGTCAAGGAGTGAGCTGTCAGATTGAAGACTGCAACATTACAAGTAGCTACATTGCAAACTAAACTACATGGGGATGTGGTTTAATTTGCAAAGTAACAAACACATTTAAAAATTGCCAGAAAGCCCTATACATGTAAACTGCAATGCAATTAATGGCAAAAACGGGCAATTTGTCACATGTACAGGTGCCCACAGAATATACATATCCAGAGGAGCCACTGCAAAGTAATGGTATGAAATATTTGATTTGAAAAGGGCTGACGTATACAATGTTACATAAAAATTGAAAGTGTTCACAGGACCAGAGATAAACATTTTCAGACTTAGGCACCTAAATCCTATTGAAACTCAATAAGTTCTAGGTGTTTTGAAATTTTTATCCTGGATCTTTATATTCCAGAGGGAGATGGGAACTGCATAATTTACATGTGTCTAAGTCCAAAACAAGATATTATTTCTGTTTAATGCCTCTGCCAGGAAGAGGGTTTTTTTTTTTCCTGAACTGTCATGGTTGATTAGTACTAGACTGTTTAAACCAAATCTGGAGTCAGCAGCATACATTTTCTTCACATACCACACAGTCAAGCATACCACAATAGGTTACAGTCAAAACAACTAATTTTATAAGATGAGTCACTGCTGCATGGTTGGTAGCCCTCAAAGAAAGGTAATCCATCAAGGACCAGTTTATCTTGATAAGGGGGAGATGCCTACAGTTCATTTGATCTCTACATTACTGGATAGCTTTATCCTTCAACAATAGTGATCTCTTTCCCTTAAAAACAAAATTTAAAAGTGTTACCTTAAAGAACTAGGTTTCCACAACTTGTGAAATACTTTATATGCCCCTGTAATTGAAATGACAGTCATAACTGGTCTAGTACATGATTCTTTTGGTTAACTTGTGTTAATCTTACAACAGTACAAACAAGCAAGGAACTATTTGTATTTTGCAGCATCACAGAACAGATGTCTACAGTTGCTAAGAAAATAACCTATAATTTTTCCTGTTTGTTTGTGCTGCATCTTCTTCATTGTCTGCAGCCTCTCCAGCTCTAAAGTTTCCAGGTTGCTTTACATCTTTGATTTGCTTACCCATTTGTTTGCTACCATTTATATTTTGGCATTTGTATGCCGAGGAAAGATTTTGCCAGTCCAGAAAGGAAAATAAAGCATTAGGCATTAGTCTTTTACAGCCCTTTTTTCAGGGTGTGTCTTGCTAGCTATAAAAGAAAAAAAGAGTCACAAAACAAAAAGCAAGTCCATTGAAACACTGGGCAAAAAAAAATTATCTAATTTTTCCTTGCTTTAGTTAAACAGAAAGGCAGAATGTAAGACCTGTCTTCTCACATTTTTATTCTGCCCCAAGGAGTTATGTGACAAGTAATAATATTGTAATAAGCCCCTTTTTTATACATGGTAAATAGTTTTCTGTTATGTTTGTATTGATTTGTATTGTTTCATATTAATATTGTATGGTTTAGGCCTGTGTTTGTAAAGTGATGTCAAGTATCCATTCCCATCTTGTCCCCATGCCCTGTTGTGCAAGTATGTTGCAATTCTATAACCTCTCCCATGTAAATTGGTTTTCCTTGAATGCCTGAAACAAAAGAGTGAACGGATGAGTGACACACAATGATAGCAGGACCCCCTACTAAATCACCCCACCATCAAAACCAATGCCTGGACCAACCATCCAGCCATTGGAAGCACCCCCAGCATTCAAGAAACAAAAGATGAGGCAACCCACCACTGTGCCAAGGCTGCACATGTTCAGTATGAACATCTGGAACCCTCTGGATCAAGGCTGACCTTGCCTGGACATGCCCTCCCCATAGGAGATCATAGGTAGTCTGCCCCATAAGAAGGGGTAGTGAAGATTGACTTCTGGGGACAACACCTGGACCAAGCCTGCTCCATGTCACACTGCCTATCAACCCAGAG